CTATTTGGTATGTCTTTTCTCTTTTACACCTTCAGTCAGTCTATTCCCTCCCTAGAAACATCCTCCTCACAACTGTGTACTTAATATTCATAACCTAAAAGTTGAGAGTTATGTTTTATTTGGTGAAAATTTTTAGGACTTCAAGCCCTGGAGAGGAGCCAGGTATATAGAAGTTTTCTACAAAGTCCAGGTAGTCTTAACATCAAAAGATTATTGTTAATTAAAGAAAACGGATGTCCCAAGTTAAGGAACTAAATACTTTTCTATGTATGGGAAGATGTAGGAGTCTGGGCTCACTGAAATAACCTCTTTGATATGCACCTCAGCTATCTGGGACCAGTATCCTGTGTTTTTCATCCTGAGTTTCTGCAGGGTTGACTGCAGAGAGTGGCTGCAGTCTGATGGCTACGAGATGGCTGGTATTCTTACCTTCCTGACTCCCCTCAGGGTTCACCAGCTCACCATCCCTGGTGGCTGCAATTGCTGATGACTGTGACAGCCTTTGTTTTCCTTTTCTCAAAACCATATTTTATAATCAAAATCCATCACCTTGCCCTCTTCTCTGCTGTTCATTCATTCATTCATTCATACTTAACCCTGGTGATGTTTATGTGTATACTTAGCACCAAACTAGATAACACGTTGGAGGGCTGAGAAAAGTTTTTACCCTTCCTTGAATCTTAATATCAAGCACAAGTTTCCATGATCAGTATATTCCCTGAGAGTATTTTTTTGACCTAAAGACTAAGATGGCTGTAGGCTTTATTCTACTTTGCTGCCACCTGGATTTCTGGGGCAGGAAATAACCTGGTGAAATACATAGTAAGAATGTGATGACTAAAGCTGCGTCTCAGATAACCTCCTGTTATATACACAGTGTTCATGTCACTCATTCATTCACCTATGTATTCATTCATATATCCAGTAAATACGTCTGCCACTAAAAACTAGATGTTATAGAAGATGCTAAGGAAAATGTAGAAATATAAAGGAAAATAAGACATAATTCCTCTTCTCTGAAGAGTTTATAATCTAGTGGGGTAAAAAGCAAACTTAAAAAAAGGTATGCTACTTCCGGTATTAAAATACCTGTTTGTTTTATGTTATTCTGCCACTGAAAACAACTATAAACACTGAACAAGATACAAGGGATTCTCTTTGGGAGTCTTTAAAGTGAGTCAAGATTTAGGAGTGGAGAAGCTGGGAAGAAGAGAAACCCATTGAGATGATTCAGATAGTCTATGCAGATTTTCCACTCAAGGCAATTCCATAAGGCTGAGTCATAAAACCTAGGAGTGGATAACCTGGGAAGCCTAGCAGAAAACAGTTACTAAGAAGTAAGAAACTGAGCCATGGTTTTGATAGTCTCATGGGGTTGGGGAAGCAAAGCTGGAACTCAGGGTTACAGGGACAGCTTGGGTTATTTGTAGAGGCTTCAGAGGAGGGAAGCAGCCCAACAGTTGGAGTGACTTACTCTCTCAGGGCATTCACTAATTAGCAAATAGCAACTTAGAGAAAAACTGAACCAAGAATTGTAGAGCCAAGAGGTCATGGCCTAGAGCCTGTTATACAGAGTGAAGTACGTCAGAAAGGGAAAAACAAATGTCATGTTTTTTAAAAAATAGAAAAACAAATAACACATATACATGAAATCTAGAAAAATGGTACAGATGAACCTATTTGCAGGGGAGGAATAGAAACATAGACATAGAGAACAGACAGACTTGTGGACACAGTGTGGGGAAGGATAGGGTAGGATGAATTGAGAGTGTAGCATTGACATATACAGTACCATGTGTAAAACAGCTAGTGGGAAACTGCTTTATAACACAGGGAGCCCAGACTGGTGCTTTGTGATGACCTAGAGGGGTGGGATGGATGAGGGGTAGGAGGAAGGCTCAAGAGAGAGGTGAATATATAGGTGTGTGTGTATATATATATATATATATATATATATATATATATATATACTTATATATATATATACTTATATACATATACATATACTCATGTACATATACATATATATACTTATGGCTGATTCACATTGTTGTATGGCAGAAATCAGCACAACACTGTAAAGCAATTATCCTCCAATTTAAGAATTTTTTTAAGTAAAAGAGAAAAAAAGAAATAACAGAAATAAACAGTTTTTCAGAGAGTCTCACAAACAAAAATGAGTATTGATGGCTTTTCAAGGAGAAACATCCCTCATAAACAGTGAGTTTTTGAATGGCAGTCTTAAAAGACTATACCTAAGGAATAAAGAAATCAGAACTACATCAGACTTCTAAAGACTTTCGAAAAAACCAACCTCTAAAGAACTCAATCCTAATTGGAATCAGGTGACTGCCCCCATTCTAACTGCTTATTAGAGCTAAACTCTCATCTAAAATCTTTATAAGTGTTTTATATGGTATCTAGTATTACACGATGTCTACCTAACAGAAGCAGAAGATATTAAGAAGAGGTGGCAAGAATACACAGAAGAACTATGCAAAAAAGATCTTCATGACCCAGATAACCATGATGCTGTGATCACTCACCTAGAACCAGACATCCTGGAATGCAAAGTCAAGTGGGCCTTAAGAAACATCACTACGAACAAAGCTACTGGAGGTGATAGAATTCCAGTTGAGCTACTTCAAATCCTAAAAGATGATACTGTGAAACTGCTGCACTCAGTATGTCAGAAATTTGGAAAACTCAGCAGTGGCTGGATGGAAAAGGTCAGTTTTCTTTACAATCCCAAAGAAAGGAAATGCCAAAGAATGCTCAAACTACCACACAGTTGCACTCATCTCACACGCTAGTAAAGTAATGCTCAAAATTCTCCAAGCCAGGCTTCAACAATACATGAACCATGAACTTCCAGATGTTCAAGCTGGTTTTAGAAAAGGCAGAAGAACCAGAAATCAAATTGCCAACATCCACTGGATCATCAAAAAAGTGAGAGAGTTCCAGAAAAACATCTACTTCTGCTTTACTGACTATGACAAAGCCTTTGACTGTGTGGATCACAACAAACTGTGGAAAATTCTGAAAGAGATGGGAATACCAGGCCACCTGACCTGCCTCTTGAGAAATCTGTATGCAGGTCAGGAAGCAACAGTTACAACTGGACATGGAACAACAGACTGGTTCCAAATTGGGAAAGGAGTACGTCAAGGCTGTATATTTTCACCCTGCTTATTTAACTTATATCCAGAGTACATCATGAGAAACACTGGGCTGGATGAAGCACAAGCTGGAATGAAGATTGCTGGGAGAAATATCAATAATCTCAGATATGCAGATGACACCACCCTTATGGCAGAAAGCAAAGAACTAAATAGCCTCTTGATGAAAGTGAAAGCGGAGAGTAAAAAGCTGGCTTAAAACTCAACATTCAGAAAACTAAGATCATGGCATCTGGTCCCATCACTTCATGTAAATAGATGGGGAAACAATGGAAAAGAGAGAGACTTTATTTTGGGGGGCTCCAAAATCACTGCAGATGGTGACTGCAGCCATGAAATTAAAACATACTTGCTCCTTGGAAGAAAAGCTGACCAACCCAAAAGCAGAGACAGTACTTTGCCAACAAAGGTCCATAAAGTCAAAGCTATGGTTTTTCCAGTAGTCATGTATGGATGCGAGAGTTGGACTATAAAGAAAGTTGAGCACTGAAGAACTGGTGCTTTTGAACTGTGGTTTTGGAGAAGACTCTTGAGAGTCCCTTGGACTGCAAGGAGATCGAACTAGTCAATCCTAAAGGAGATCAGCCCTGAATATTCATTGGAAGGACTGGTCTTGAAGCTGAATCTCCAATCCTTTGGCCACCTGATGAAAAGAACTGATTCCTTGGAAGAGACCCTGATGCTGGGAAAGATTGAAGGCAGGAGAAGGGGACGAAAGAGGATGAGATGGTTGGATGGCATCACCGACTCGATGGACATAAGTTTGAGTAATCTCTGGGAGTTGGTGATGGAAAGAGAAGCCTGGTGTGCCACAGTCCATGGGATCAGAAAGAGTCAGACGCGACTGAGTGGCTGAACTGAACTGTCTAGTATTTAATAAAAATTAACAAGCATAACAAGAGGCAGAACAGAGAAACAGAGAATAACAGACCCACAGTGTCTGTAGTCATTGTCAACTTGAAAAATAGCCAAAACCTTAAAGTTGAGAGTTATGTTTTATTTTGTGGGAATTTTAAGGATTTCAAGCCTGGGAGACAGCATCTCACATGACCCTGAGAGATGGAGGGCCTCTCCATCTGTTTCACGGAGGCAGGCAGGCTGGGATGTCAGGTTATAAAGAAGTTTGCCACAAGGGGCAGGTAGTCTGAACAAAGAAGATTATTGTTAATTAAGGAAAATTATTTCCTTATAATTTATTAAGGAAATATTTTTTTAGATCTTTTGAGTTAAGAAATTTAGTGCTTTTCTATGTATAGGAAGATGCAAGAGTCTGTACTTAATGCAATCATTCCTTTAATATGCATCTCAGCTATTGGGGCCAGCATCCTGCAACTTGATTTTTCACATCCTTAGTTCCTCATTCACCATAGGGAGTGGGGGCAGCTTGTGGCAGCAGCTTAATGGCTGCCAGATTGGAGGCATTGCTCTTCCTCGGTGCCCTCCGGGCCTAGAAATTAAATTTGGAGGCTCAGAATAGCTAATGACTGTGACATCCTTGTTTACTATGGCAAGAAACACTCTGTTTCACACATCAGACACAGGCTTTACAATAACTAGGACGAACCTGTTTAAGACAGCAGATACACTGCTTCTTAGAGAACTGGCATTTGAACTGATCTTTGAAGACTGCTTGGGACTTCAATTAACCAAGTCCTTTCTTCTCAAAGAACTTGGGGGGTTCAGATACAGCTCCTTCTAGCCAAAGGTGATGAAGACAAAAGCAAGGAAGTGTCAAATTCAGGGGTATTTTATCCAGGGCTGTATCGAATGTGTTTGTGCAAGGGGGAGAGAAAAAAACTCATTTTTGCTTATCTGTTTTAGGATTTCTTCAGTAAATCTGACCCATTTCTGGAAATTTTTCGAATGAATGATGATGCAACTCAGCAGCTTGTGCACCGAACTGAGGTGAGAAGTGCCATCTTCAGTTTTGCCATCTCATTTCCTTAAGATAATACACTGACCTTACCTTTATTAATGTCTGTAGCTCTCCCCCAAGACCTGCGGTCTTCCCAGTCCTCTCTTTCTTCTGAATGTGGGTGTTATAAGAGGAGACCCTTTCTCACCCATATTCTCCACTCCTGACCTTTAATACAGAAAGCCAGCAACTTATTAATAATAAAAATATGAATCCTAGTTAACATTTAAGGAGCGTGACTAGGTGCCAAGCAATCTACCAAGTGATTTTACACACATCATTTTATTTACTTCTCACAACTATGCCCTGACATGGTTATTATTACCCCATATTACCGATGAAGAAGCTGAACTTTGAGGAGGTTAATTCACCTTCCAGTTCTCACAGTGAGCAAGAGGTAGAGCTAAGGTTTGAATTACGTGTGTTTGACCCTGAGCTTTGCTGTAATTTGAGAAGACAGTCAGCCTCCCCGGGGAAGTCCACACACAGTACTGATGTCAGGTCTGCATATGAATAGCTGCCCTGTATCAGCAGGCACTTGATCTGGCTGCATCTCCCTCTCATACTCCCACTTTCTCGCCATGTGTCTGTGAACCTCATCCTTCAGTATCCCACCCACCACTGCCTGTGACCACACACCCACTTAACAACCAACCCTAGACTCCACTTTGTATTGTATTTTATGTATAAGCTAGTTCAAGAGAGAGACTTGTTGGGGTGAGAAGCGCCTTGGTAAGGAGAGATGGCTTGGAGCTGAGAGAACTGTTGTGCTTGCAGGGAAGTGTAGAGGAGGAAGGGACTGTCATGTCTCCTACAGGGTTATAGCTGTGTTCCCACACCTCACACTGGAAATCCAGTTCCTTTTTCCCAAAGTGGTAGAGTTGCATGTAGCATTAGGGGGACATTTCATGTCATATTTAAGATAAGCAAAAACTGAATAATCTTGGACAGGCTAGTCTGTGAATGTCATTTGGTACATGGTTAGCATTTAATAAAAGAATGAATGCATGAATGGAGTTGATTATAGATAGTATGTCCAGTCCCTGTAATAGTACAGTGTGACTCTTTGGACAGTCACAAACTATTCCCTAGGGAATAGTTTCAAACGCAACTTGGATGGTTACCCTGAGTGGCACCTCGTCACCACCACCTAGTAGAACTTTTTCCCCACATAAAGGTTCCTTTGATGGAACAGAGTTCTTTCAGAAGAAGTAACTAAATGTTGGAGAGAATCAGAAGTGGTAGCCATTCATGCCTTTGCCCAGCCAGTGCACGGGGACTTGAATGTACAGGGAGAAGGAAGAGGGGTGGCATCATATTAGACTTCTTCTCTCCTGACAGTGGCCCTCCTCTCAGTTTTAACGCTGGTAAACTCCCCTGTTCCCAGAGTCTCTAACACTTCCCCGTACTCCATTGTGAAGGGCCCCTGGAGTCTCACAGAAATGTGATTGTAAAGTCTCCAGTGAATCAATCAGCATAACATTGCTTTTTCCTCTTTCTTACTCAATAGATAGAAAATAACCAGGCAATACTATTCTCCCTGGGTAAGCACATGTGTACACACACACATACAGATTTTAATCTCAGAGGAAATTTCTAGTAGAAATTTTGATTTGCTATTGAGTTTTACATAACTGTTGCAATGAAACATCTTCACTCTTAATATTTCTATAAAGGTGAGAGATTTAACCAAAATAATTTTACCTAACTTTTCTTCTCACTATCACTTTGATCATTCAAGGAATGAGAACAAAAAGCAAAGTCACACAGGAACATTATTTTTCTACTCTTTAATGCACTATAGGAAATTTAATAATGAGCCTGCAGTATACTCAATAATTCATTATATTAAGGAATTCAGAAGAAGAGGGAATCACTTATAAAATAATTATGTTGGATAGAGAATTAATTTTTTTTACAATACTAAGATTTCTGCTAACTAAAAACTGCTTATGAAGAGAAATCAATATGACCGAATTCCATTTAACTTCATTTGTATGTCCCCTGGAACAGTGGTTCGCAAATATCATGCATCAGGATCACCTAATGACCCACCTAGGGAGTTTCTGTCAGTATATCTGGTTGAAATCTAGGAATTTGTATTTAACAAGTTCCTGAAGTTCCAAGAATCACACTTTGGGACCAGCCCCCAGAGCATACAGTACAACCCTAGATACAGAGCAAATACTCACACATTCTAAACCAAAATGAATTATTTGAATCATTTGATGGCAGAATAAGACTTGACTCAAATGTACCCTCAGGCAGGATTTAACCAAGTTCATGATCAGTAAACTGCTTTTAAAAGGATTACACTCCATTATAGTCTTAATTTGTGGTCCTGAAATTCTGAAGATTACCTTCATGCCTTCCAAGCATACTCCTAGGATTTTTCTTCTGACTTGCAACCTGATCTAACCAAGGTCACGAGTCACCAAAGATCACTCAACTTCAGCAATAGAATTTCTCACCTATAAGCTTTATGTATGCTGACCTCAGTAGAAGGGAATTTATGCCATAGCATTGAGCTACAGAACCGGGGATCTTTTACCAGAGGCAGAGGCAGCCCATCTCCTTAATCCTACCCTCTTTTGATATAGAAGGGGTCATCTCCAACACCCACATACTGTACAATATTACTGTTATTATTCATAAAACAGCATCCAGGCTAGTGATCACAGGAGTTCTGCCCATAGTGTTCACTTAGTGAGCACCTTTCAAAGGTTTACTACTTCAAGTTTTCATTAAGACACCTGTTGCAGACAATTGTCTGTTTCATAAGCTTCTCAAGCTTTCAATGCTTCTCAAGTAGTTTTTATGTTGAAAGTGAAAATGTCAAGCATTTCCTCTCCTACCCATCACTCCTTTCTTTTTTCCTCAGGTTGTGATGAATAACTTAAGCCCAGCCTGGAAATCATTCAAAGTATCTGTAAACTCTCTATGCAGTGGAGATCCCGACCGCCGGCTGAAGGTCAGAAATCTGTGTCTAAGAAATGCAGTTTTACATATTTAATCCTCCTGTTTCTCCTCAAGTGAATGTTGGCAGACTCAAAATTTTCTGTAGCTTTTACCTAGATCTCTTAGCATCTTGATGGAAAAAACACAAAGGGTTTCCTTCTGCTAGAGCCTTTGTGGCTCCTGAGATAGTAAGAAATAAATCCCAGTTGTGTTAGGTTGAGAGGCAAATCCCATGGCTTATCAGAGAGAAATGTGGCAATAAGTTCAAGGACTAACTAGGAGTTATTATAAACACAAATACTGCTGTTGTCAGTTATCTACTGCTGCATAAGATACTACTCCAAAATTTAATATTTAAAACTATAGCCATTTATTTAGCTTATGATTCTGTGCATTGGCAAGCTGAGTTCATCTAAGAGGCTCTTCTGGAGAAAGGCGATGGCAACCCACTCCACTATTTCTTGCCTAGAAACTCTCATGGACAGAGGAGTCTGGTGGGCTATAGTCTATGGGGTCACAAAGAGCTGGACATGACTGAGCACATGCACACCACGCCACAAGAGGATCTTCTCTTGGTCTCGGGTGGACTTCCTCATGTATATGCAGTCAGCTGTACCAAGCAGAATGCCTCTCTTCCTGGGGTTTGTCTGGCTATCCTCTGGAATGATCAAGGTGGTGGGGACATTTGTTTCTCATCATTCAGCAGGTTGGCTTGGACTGATACACTAAGCAACTTTAAGGTCCAAAGGATCCAGGACAGAAGATGCACATGTCTTGAGACCCAGTCTCAAATTCATATGAGGTCACTTCCTCTGTGTTCTACTGGCCAGTCACATGGCCATCTGAGATTCAGGGATGAGGAAATAGGACATGGACTCCACTTCTTGGTGGAAGGAGCTGCAGAGTATGGTGGCCACTTTTTTCAATCTACCACACATGTTTTTTGAGTATCATGGGAATGTAGAAGTTGGAAGAAAAGATGTGTTATGACAATCAGGATGACCAAAGAGGACAATAGGCCAAGTGCCAGAAGCAGATGCCCAGAGGCGTTCCTTTTGGTTCTTGGTCTGGCTCTCTCTCTGCCTTGGAAGTCCAGAACTCCATGTTGTCAGGGTCCCAGAGGTTATTCTATCTAGCAGGATGGCTAAGTAGATTCAATAGAGCCCAGAGATATAAACCAAAAGACCAGTTGGTTCATGGTTAGTGAAAAACCCTCAAGCAGACTCAACATTCGTATCAGCTTTGCCAGGTCATTTTCTCCATGTGGGTTAACTATGGGGAGGACGGTTATTAGGGGGTTGTGTGAGAGCCTGAAAACAGAGCTAAGGAAGCTGGATAATGGAAATGGTTAATGGCTTCAGACTTTAAACACCTGGGACACCTATTACCACTGTGGAATAATAATAAGCAGATGAAACGTTCATATTGGAGGCACCAGCTCCCCTGGAAAGTGTTGGATGGACACTGCCAATGCCTATATTTGTAACTTTAAACTTTCCTTACTCTTTTTGCCCTGTAAACCTTCTTCTAGTGGATATAATTATTGGATTTGTCAATGTTATCCTTCAGATCAGAATCCTATCCATCAGTTACTCCCAAACTCTTCATGTGACTTTACATCTTTGCTTAAAAACATTCTGTGTGGACTTTGTACTATCTGTGGACATGCTTACTTCTGTGGTCTTGAGGAAGAGTTCAGAGTTATCCCTGATGTCTCTTGTGGAAGCCTCCAATTTCACCGCAACTATCTTTCATGCCAAAATCAAGACTCCTGGTTGTTTGGGCCTCAGGTGTAAGCTTATGTGCAGGGTGGCCAAGACCTACAGCTTCAGGTCTGAGGTGGGGCCTGTCACCTATACTCTGAGCCACCCTATCCCACTCCCAGGAAGAGAAATGGACCCTTTGGGGCAAAAATAAGATAATGCCTATATTAACCACAGGTCAACTTAGTCATGGGGAGTTGCTAATTCAATAAAAGGAGATGGTTATCTGTAACTGAGTAAATAACAAAAATGTGGAAAAGGAGCATTTGGTGGTTTTTTGCGTACTCTGCTATCTGTCTGTAAAGGACAAGTGGGAATAAAAAAGAGACAAGAAGGAAGGAAGACACAGACAGAGAAAGGGAGGATTGGGATTTCTCAACAGCCGCACCATTGACATTTGGATTTTTTTGGCAGGGGCGGGGCGGGGTGCGGGGAGGTTGTCCTGTACACTGTAGGGTGTTTAGCATCATCCCAGGCTACTAAACACTAGTAGTAGTACTCTAGCCCCGTCAGTCATACAGACCAAATTGTATTCAGACACTACTAAATGTCCCATGGAGGGTAAAATAGTTTGGAGAATCACCTAGAAGACTAGTTAAAGCAGATTCTTGGGCATTACCCACAGGGTTTCTGATTAAGCAGGTCTGGGTTGAGCCTGAGAATTTGCATTCTGGAACTTCCTGGGCGATGCTAATGTTGCTGGCCCCAGACCACACTGAGAACCTGGTACAGACATTTGCTCCTTCATTATAGCCCTTCCTCAGCTCAGTGCCCACCACCACTTTCCACCACCCAGTCTCACCTCCACAATCTTTTCTCTGCCTGGCACTCATGCCCACCCTGTCCTCCCCAGGCCTTCAGGCCTGGGCACATGCCTCTCCCTGTCTGGGAGGCTTTCCTCACTCTCCTACTTTTCTTGGATTATCATCATCGCTACTTTCCTTCGGGTCTCTTCAATATCCCTCCACTTCCAGAAACCTTCCCTGATGTCTTTAGCTTCTAAGGGTGCCCTCCATTTCTCTGCACCACCTTAGGGAGACAACTCCACTTGTTTAGAACCTTTCTGTTTCTCTTTCCTGAGCAGGTGACTCATTCCTAGATTGCTCCTGCAGTGTGAGAACCATGTTTCTTTCCACGCGTATCCATGCATCCAGTCCAGTGCTTGGCACAGGGTATACACAGAAGCTGTTTCTAGAGGGAATGGATGGAGAACAGGGAGGTGCTAAAAGGTTGACAGCACCTCACTGGGCGAGAGGGAATACCCAGGTGTGCTGAGCTCCCTAGGTGACAAATCCAATATCATCACTCACCTGCAGCTTTTTTTGAGAGGCAGGAGAGACTTCCTATATTATTCTTTATTTGTATTCATTATTTTGTCACAAATGCCATTGTGAAATTCTGATAGTGTTGTTCCTCTTTAGCTTTCCCTAATATAAAATGGTGTCATATGACATATTAGAAGGCAGCACCTCCTTGCCACCACAAAATTAAAAAAAAAAAAAGTGAACTTTTAAATTAAAAAAAGTTTTAAGCCCTCTGTCCATTTATATTCTCAGTCTTAGCAAAACTCTAACAATGAGATCTTGGTCCCAAATGAGACTTGATATCTTTAGCTCTCATTTATTCAGGGTCACAGTAACACCAAGTTGAAGTAAAGCCAGTGTTTTCTTTTGTTTTATTTTTCCTATTCCTCCTTTGTGGGGGAAAAAAAATTAATTAAATAAGTATTTTTCAGAAATTAATGTTTTGATTTATTTATTATGAAACTTTTTAAACCTCCATAAAAGTAGTGACTTACTGTTTACAATAGCCAAGACATGGATGCAAACTTAATGTCCATCAACAGAGCAATGGATAAAAAAGATGTGGTACATATATATAATGGAATACTACTCAACCTAAAAAATAATGAAATAATGCCATTTGTAGCAACATGGAAATGCCTGGGGATTACCATGCTGAGTGAAGTAAGTGTGACAGAGAAGGAGAAATATTGTATGACACCTCTTTTATGCAGAATCTAAAAAGAAATGATACAAATGAACTTATTTACAAAGCAGAAAGACTTATAGACTTAGAAAATGAATTTATGGTTGCCAGGTAGGAAGAATAGGGGATAGAGATAGTTAGGGAGTTTGGAATGGATGTGTACATGGACATGTACACACTATTATGTTTAAAATAGATAACCAACAATGACCTACTGTATAGCACAAGGAATTCTGATCAATGTTATGTGGCAGGCTGGATAAGAGGGAAGTTTGAGAGAGATTGGATACATGTATACCTATAGCTAAGTCCCTTTGCTGTCCACCTGAAACTATTACAACATTGTTACTCAACTATATTCTTCTCACCCTCAATCTTTCCCAGCATCACGGTCTTTCCAATAAGATGGTTCTTCACATCAGGTGGCCAAAGTATTGGAGCTTCAGCATCAATCTTTCCAGTGAATATTCAGTGTTGATTTCCTTTAGGATTGACTGGTTTGATTTCCTTGCAGTTCAAGAGACTCTCAAGAGACTTCCCCAGCACCACAGTTTCAAGGCATCAATTCTTTGGTGCTCAGCCTTTTATTGTCCAACTCTCACATCCATGCATGACTACTAGAAAAGCATTAGCTCTGACTATATAGAACTTTGGCACAGAGTGATGTTTCTGCTTTTTAATACACTGTCTAGGTATGTCATAGCTTTTCTTCCAAGGTGCAAATGTCTTTAATTTCATTGCTTTAATCACCATCTGCAGTGATTTTGGAGCCCAAGATAATAAAGTCTGTCACTGTTGCCATTGTTTCTCTATTTGCCATGAAGTGATGGGGCTGAATACCATGATCTTAGTTTTTTGAATGTTGAGTTTTAAGCCAGTTTTTTTCCTCTTTCACTTTCATCAAGAAGCTGTTTATTTCCTCTTCACTTTCTGTCATAAGGGTTGTGTCATCTGTGTATCTGAGTGTATTGATATTTCTCCTGGCAATGTTGATTCCAGCTTATGACTCATTCAGCCCAACATTTCACATGATGTACTCTATATAGAAGTTAAATAAGCAGGGTGACAACAGCTTTGACTTACTCCTTTCCCAATTTTGAACCAGTCTGTTGTTCCATGTCCAGTTCTAATTGTTGCTTTTTATCCTGCATACAGGTTTCTCAGGAGACAGGTGGTCGGGCATTCCCATCTCTTTAAGAATTTTCCAGTTTGTTGTAACCCACATAATCAAAGGCATTAGCATAGTCAATGAAGCAGAAGT